GCATGATTTTCAAGCCATTGGGTCTGGGACTCAAACCATGGTTGGTCATGTGGCAGTCCAACAACGTAACCGCTATGCCATTTGCTGGTCTCACACAGAATATATTTTAAATTTCTAGAAATTTAAAAACTTTGTTTAGATTTATCTACCTTTTTTTTTCATTTTTTTTTTTTTTGAGAGCTTTTTACTATAGGGCGCGTGCGCTTGCCAGAGAGAGAGAGACAGAGACAGAAAGCGAGGAATCACTCCTCAGGGGGGATGGCTATTCCACAATCCCTTCTCCATCCTCCTCTCGGGATCTTGGGCATGCACGCACATGCACCTGGTGTGAGTTTAAGCAACCGGATCCAGGACTCAAACCGTGGTCGACTACGTGGGAGTCCAGCGACATAGCCATTACGCTAATTGCTGGTCCCAGATTTATCTACCTTTTAAATTATTCTTTTATCAAATGTCAGACTTTCCTCCTGGGGACATTTTTTTTTTCTTTTTAAAATAAATAGTTCAAAAAATTTAAGTAAGATTTATACGGAAGTAAATTCCCCAAGTTTTGTTTGCTTGAAAATATCTTTCTTTTTTTGGGCCTTTCATTCCTAAAAAAATTTTCTTACATACAGTTTTAGCTTAACATTTAATTTCTTACAACATTTTGAATAATTTATTTCATCTCTGTATTCTAACATTTGTGTTGATAAATTAACTATCAACTGAATTGTCATTCCAATGAAATGGAATTTCATTCTACTTGCTTTTATGAATTTGTATTTGATGTCAGTTACCTGCAGTTTCAATATGATCTATGTTTAGGTATGTTTTTCATTTTATTTATACTTCTTTGGATTCACTGGGATTCTTGAGTCTTGAAAAGTATGGAAAGTTTGTCTTCATTATCTCTTTAAATATTGTCTTCCCACCATTCTGTTATCTTCTTCTGCAAGTCTAGTCTTTGCAACTTCTAATTCTATCCTTTGTGCATTTTTGTTTTGTTTTAAGAGAGATTTTTTTCCTATAGGGTGTGTGCACTAGTCAGAGAGACAGACAGAAAAAAGTGAGACAGGAAGTGAGAAATCACCCCCCAGGGGAGATGGCCATGCTGCAATCCCTTCTCCATTCTCCCCTTAGGATTTTGGGCATGCACGCACACATGCTTGGCATGATTTTTAAGCCACCAGGTTTGGAACTCGAACTGCAGTCAACTATATGGGAGTCCAGTAGGGTAACCATTATGCCATCTGCTGGTCCCTAGCCTCTGTGTTTTTTAACTTCTCTTTTGTATTTTAAATCTATTATTCTTCTTTAAAGTTTATTCATTTATTTCCAGAGAGAAATCCAAAGGGAGAGAGGCTCCCTTGACAGATTCTGTAGCCAGCCCGAATTACAGGATTGCCCAGGGTGGTCAGGAAGACCTTGAACACGAACTAGATCCTAATCATGTGGCCTTCAGCATCAAACAGCATTAACTCTACTGTCCAAGATTTTGAGGCTGACCCTAAGTCTGTTATTTCATTCTAGCTGTATTTGGCATAAGTTTTTCAGGTCAAATATAAGATATAAGTTCTACTTTTTTTATATTTATGTCTTATATGTTGCTTAATACACTTGGTAAATTTTGTATCAAATACACATTTGCACATATTATATATATTATATTTTATACATACATGTAAAATATAATGCATAATATATAAGAATATATATATTGTGTGTCATATATGTCATGTGTGTATATAAATATGCATTTAATTTTCCAGAGGGCATGTGCACTTGTCAGGGAGAGAGAGAAAGTGAGAATGCATCCCCCATGGGACATGGTCATGCCACAATCCCAGTTCCTCCATTTCTTCCTGCTTTCTGGGTTTGGGGCATGCAATGCATGCACATGCACCCTGTGTGTTTTTTAAATCTATGTCTCTGGGACTTGAATTGCCCTGTTGACCATGTAGGGTCCAGTTGCCTTAAACACATCACTAGCTAACCCCAATTATAATTTTTAATTATAGAATTTCTTGTGTGTGTGTGTGTGTGTGTGTGTGTGTGTGTTTCACTGAGTATTTGTGGTAGATTTTGTTTTTAAATTATTTTGGACCATTTTTATATACACTTAAAGGAAAAACTTATTAAGCACATTTATATTTATTCCTAGGTTTTTCAATTTCTGTATTCTTCCCAGGTTTGAATTCCATATAGTGTCATTCATGACGGCTTGTATTCACATATACTTTGTGATATTTTCTGTTAGTTCATACTCCATGAAATGTTACCTGAGTGAATTATGAGAACTCATTTGAAAACACAAGTCTCCTGGAAAGACCTGCACCAATTTCAGCCCTGTACCCAGCATTACCAACTCATGTCTGCATTAAATAATGTTCTAGACTCAGGACTTGATAAATCATACAGGTAGTAAATATTAACTTCAATATTTATCTCAGGTAAAGATAGGCTTGTACTTACAAATTCTTAAAGGTTAACATTTTCTCTCCTCTTTAGAATTTAACAAAATAAGCAAGAATTCCTACCACCTTCTTTTCCAGGTGATCTGCTGAGGGCACCACACTGCACAGGTCCCAGCTTTGTGTGGGATTCTAGGATTCTGTGACTTCACCTTCCACCTAGGGGCCCTGAACTCTACCCCTGAGTTACTGTTATTTGTGGTACCCAGTCTGAAGCTCTAGCTCTCACCATCGTTGGTAGATGCCCCAAGGCAGCAGTTGGCTTCAGCTTACAGAATTTTCTCTCCAGATTTCAGCTTTCTCTCATTTTTTGGCAAATGAATCTTTCCTTACATGTTGTTAGCATTTTAAAAATTCATGTTTTGTGATTGAATCAGCACTTTCATGTAGTGTATAGCGCAAGGATTTTTTTTTACAGGTATCAGTTCACCATTCTGTCAAATACAGAGGTGTAACATAACAATTTTACACTGAATATGAGTGTTGATATCTAAAGTAAGTTAAATATTCAACTAGAAAAGGGCATGATTTTCAACACTACCCAACACATTTTCTCTGTTGGACTGATTTAAAGTGATATCCTCAGAGATGCAGAAGGACTACTCTGCTGTGATCTAATCTTGCTGATTAACATCAAAGGTCTATGAAAGCAGTCAGAATGTCGATGTTTAAAGTTGATTTTCAAAGGATCTCACATTACTGTAAGGATGATATGGAAACACCCATATATGCTACATCCATGCCCACATACAGACAGTCCTCACTTAACAACCAAGGTCCATTCCTAGGGCTAGCTTATCAAGTGAATGAGTTAATATGTGAGGAGCTTAAAGGTACATGTCTTGTGGCACCATAGGGTATGTGCTGAAGGCTCACAAGAGACCAAGTAAGGGGATTCCCTGTGCTAGAGAACTGGTCCTAAGTCTGAGCAGTTGTTAAACAGGTAGGTTGTTAAGTGAAGAGTGTCTGTGTGTATATATATGGAATGAAGATGGTAATTCAGGTATGTATATAAATTAATATAATTATATATTTATACATTATATATACTATAATATATACATATCATATTTTGTATACATTCATACATATGTAATTATACTTAAGAATTATTTCCTATAAAATGTACGTACTTTAATTTCACCCCCATAGGAAACTTGTAAGGCTATACTGTCCCTGAATATCTGTGACATCTAGGTCATTATATTGCATTGCATCAGGATTTCCTTCCTCAGGATTTGCATTAATAAAGAGCTATCTGTGGTCCCTAGCCCTGGCTTGATGGAGAATGATTGCTTTCCTGCTGCTCACTGCTATGTTGGTTTCCTCGCAATCATCCAGCAGCTTGGCAAGAGAAGGCACCTCTAATGATTCCAGTGCAAACACTGTACCTGTTGCTATTGACAGACTTTGTTCCTTAGAGAAGATATTAACTGCCAGCTGGCTGTGACAGTTTGTGAACTAACATTGACATTTGTGTTGGCACCATAACAGTATTTACAGCTCAGGAAATATATACAGTTTGATTTTGATGAACCCAGGGATCTGAGAGGTAAAAAGCGTAACAATACAGAAATGTTATAAAAATAAAATTATTTAAAAAATAACTTGAGAGCATGGGGTCTCTTTCAAGAAATATCTGCTCCATATGAAACATATGGCTTATGATTGCAAAGAGAAAAGGATTACAAAGAACAGAGGGTGGTGATTTAATGATGGAGCTGGTCATCCACACTGTATTTCCTAATGGTTCACTCTTTCAGAAAGCTGCTAAAGAAAGGTAGAAAGAAATAAAACAAAAATCTATGTTTTGAATAATGGAGAATAAAAATATAAAATATCACAATATCAGGAAAAAGTTAATGTTATGTCTTTGCTATTTTTCTTTTGCTGGGCCCAGAACCAGCTATTCTTGGCTTAGACACGTCTTTATGTCCCATGACTGTCACATTGTAAGGAGTTTAAATCAGCACATTGCAATACCAGTCAGCACTCCATATCTGCAGGTTCTGCATCCACAGGTTGAACCAAAAAAATCAATAATATTTTTAAACATTGGTACATCTATACTGAATAGGTAAAGACATTTATCTTGTCATTAGTCCATGAGACATATAGTATAATACCTATTTACATAGCATTTACTTAGTATTAGGCATTAAAAGTATTTTTGAGGTGATACAAAGAATGTACTAGAGGATGTACACAGTTTATATGCAAGTACTATGCCATTTTATATAAGAAACGTGGATTTTGGCTTCCACACAGGTCTTGAACCAATCCCCCAAAGATAGGAAAGGATAACTGAAGTCATTAAAAGCAGTGAAGTCCCTAGAAAAGTGGCACTGGAAGGCAATGAAATGAGTGGAATATTTAGTGGCTGTTATCCACATGTTTAAATAGTGTGACACTTGTCATAAATATAATTGGATAGAAGAAATGTCATTGGACACTTTTGTCTCTATTCTAGTTTCCAAGTAAACTCTGAAATGCCTGCATTTTTGTTATGTTTTGTTTTAAAAAGAATTAACTTGATCAGGTACTTACTGCTATAGTCCCAGGGCAGTTTGGAGACTGGCATTCCCCACTCATTCGATTTGGAATTAAGACATCATCCCAGCAAGATGGACCCTGTAAGGAAAAAACAACATGCCCTTGGTGCACCACTGCAATCTGAATGTACTCATACATTACAGAATGGTAATGAAATTACTGTGTTACCCAGTGATCTTCAAAGTGTGGCCCACAGACCCTGGGAGGACCTAAAGACCCTTTTGAGGGATCTACTAGGTCAAAAGTATCTTCATACATATATCGTTAGGCATTTTGCTCCAAATCCATTATTTTCTACTCCTCTACTCTGGGGCTATGCTTACATGTGCTTTATCAGACAAAACATCCTGGTCTTGTTCCACTTCTCTCCATTGACCTTGTCAGCCTTCCCTTGCTTCACCGCAATTACCATTACCCTGCACATGCCATAACCACAGAACAAGGATCATCTGTCTCATCACCCAGCACTTAGCTGCACAAGGGCAGGTTTAGGCCATTGTGTTGAATGCAGTGTCCCAGCACTGGAGAAGAGTCTGGCCCATAAGAAGGACTCAACCAACTCTTCTAGCAACCAAATAAAGAAAAAATGAAATAAAAGCAAGTCTTTCTATTATATTAGAAACTAATGCTCAAAGAAAAATATTACTGTCATTGAATACATTCTTTTTACAAAGCAACACATTAATTAGTATGAGAAGTCTTTAAATTATTCATAATTTTTCATCTAAATTTCAAGAAATCTATACTGGCCCAAACTATTAAGACAAGAAAGAGTCTTAAATGCATTTTGTTTACAGCTGTTCTATTTCTACAGTAAGAAAGTAGAAACACCCTAAATCACCAAAGATACCTAGATGAATGCTCCCTGCTAAACCAGACAACACACAGTGACTAAAATATATTCTTCATATTTACTGAAAACATACTAGGTGGAAGGTGTAAAATCTGGATTAAAGTGGGAGTACAACTATATAAATGAGCATGCTAGGTGAATGAGCATGAAGAAGACAATTAGGAGGAAATAAGATATAACCCGTATCTTTCTGGGATGTAGTTTCCTACTACAGATTATCTAAAAAAAAAGTTAAACAATTTTAAGTTCATTACAATTTTAATCAGTGACCTATTTTTTATTATTTTTTATATTTGCCTTTCCTTTGTATGCCATTTTTTTTTTAAAGTTTTGACATAGGGCATATGTGCTTGCTGGAGAGAGACAGTGAGAGGGAAAGTGAGAAATCACCCCCCAGGGAGAATGGCCATGCCACAATCTCTTCTCCATTCTCCTGCCAGGACCCTGGGGACACATGTTCAAGAGCCCAGTGTGATTCTCAAGCCACCAGGACCAGGACTCAAACTATGGTCAAATATGTTGGAGTCCAGTGCCTCAATCACTGTGCCATCTACTGGTTCCTGTTCATAATATTTTTAAGTTTATTTATTTATTTCTTCTGAGAGAGAGAAAAAACAATGGGTACCCCCAATAGGATGTTCATGCCATAATCCATCCCAACCTCAGCCAGACCAGATCATGGGCACTCATGTGCCCTGTGTTTTCAACAAGACCCCAGGATGCAAATCACGGGACATTCCCATATAAGTCCAGTGTGCCATCGATTTCACCATTATGTAGCCCCAATTTTTTAAATTAAATTATTTTTTAATTTATAAGAGAGAGCACAGGAGGGAGAAAGAGAGGTTTTTTTGACAGGATCTTGCCATGTTGCTATCCTTCTGTCCCAGGCTTATAGTCAGCAAGGACCACAGGCACAGGTAGGGCTGGGAACCAACCTAGGGCCCCCTATGTGGCTTGTACAACTATGGAAGGGCCTGGTGACTTTTAAAAGCAAACACATAATTGACATTCAAAAAAAAACTCTTTGGGGGCAGCAGTTGACTGTGTCAAAGCACACCTGGAGATCACCTGTCACCACTGACAGCTGGAGAAAATACAGTGACCTCCATCTCTCCTGAGGCACCCTTAGAATTAAGTTTAAAAACTAATGATGGGGTCAGCAGGTGGCCAATGCCATGGAGGTTCAGGCACTGGATCCCACGTGGTCAACCACACGATTTGAAAAAACACACCAGGCGTGTGTGTGTATGCTCAAAAATCCTGAAAAGAAAATGGAGGAGAAAGGATTGCAGTGTGGCCATCCTTCCTGGGGATGCTTTCTAACATTGCTTCTTTCTTTCTCTCTGGCAAGTGCACACACGCTATAACAATTAAATATAAATTTAAAAATCTAACGATACATAAAAACATTACCACTGAGAACAGAACGGAGTGATAGTTTGAAATAGATCTCTATGGTTTTCTCAAATATGTAATAAACTGTAACAGAGTCCTGCAGGACCACAAGGAGGCTGAGGGATTGAAACTAAACAAAAGGAAAACAGAGAAAGTAAAGAAAAAACAAAAGGCAGACCCAAGTAGCAAATTTTCATAAACAGAATATCCTAAAATCATCTAGAGAAAAAAGTCAGATCATCTACCAGGAAACAAAAATCAAAATAGAATTTTGAAATTGTAGCAACATCCTCAAAGACCAGAAAGGAAAAAAAAATTTTTTTTTACTTTTTAATTGCCAGAGGGGGCACATGTGCTTGCCAGAGAGCGAGGGAGAGTTGAAGTAAGAGTGGGAGAGGTAGAGGGTAGAGAGACCCCACACTGGGGCATGGCCACACCACAGTCCCTTCTCCATTTCTCTATCCTGCTGTGATTTGGGGCACACATGTACATGTGCCTGGTGTGTTTTTTCAAGCTGCCAGGCCTGGGATTAGGACCATGATCAGCCACATGGAATCTTACGCCCTTCCCACTAGGCGACAGAGCCAGTTCCAGAGGAAAAGATTTTCAACATAAAATTCTGTATTTAAACTAATTAGCAGTGAAATGAAAGAAAGATAAAAACTGGTTTGGGGATATACAAGGAACTGGGAAATGTACTTGAACACCTGTGAGAACCCAGAGTTCAGGGGACAGCTGAGGGCAGCTGAGAGTGGGCCGGCACCTGCCTCCTCACCGCTGAGTCTGGGAGACAGCCACGAGAAGAGGTGCACTGGTGTCTCCGTGTCTGTGACAGGGAACGGAGGAGAACAGAGGGCAGGCGATGGACAGAGCTTCCAGAAGACATGCATGAGGGCCAGTGCACAGCACAAGGCAGAGGGAGAGGACAGAGGGCAGGACGATGTCACCATGTGGCAACTTCACTACCGAGGACACTGGAACCCAGCCAGTGGTTTCAGGTGCAGGGGGTGAGTTGGTCACCATGAGTCAGCATGGGGACCATCACCCCTCCCCAAGAACAAGCTCAGAGCAGTCCAGCCATTGGGCAGCAGAAAATAGTGAAAATGCCAGGGAAGGCGTGCAAGGTCCCAAAGTCACACCCTCGAGTCTGCATGAGCACTGGCCTTCTCCTTCCTTTACTGTCCTCCTTTACCAACATGTATACATACTCACACATACATACACATGCCTAAACACTCAGTCACACTACAATTCACACTTATACCACATACTTTCATATGCACACAATACCACACACATGCACATATGCCACACACACAGGCATATACCACATATATCACACATATATCACACACACTCATACATGGCATACCACATATTACATACTCATATACCCAACACACACACATGCATGCACACTCATATACACACCATTCACCACACTCACACATACATATACATACATATACCACATGTACACACACTAATCTATGTAAAAACGGGGAAGCAGAAGAAATCTGAAAGTCTGACCTCTACCAATCTATAGAGGCTATTAAATCCAGACCTCAAAGGGAATAGAATTTTAATATCCAAGCGATTGAGTGGAAAGCCATTACTGGAAGTTGTAGCCGGCCTGAAACTGTTATTGTTAGAAGGGCCTGCTTTCATGGGTGGCTCTTGGAGGGCATCTGGGAACTTGGATGTGGAAGTGAACTCACATTCCCTTGCTGCTGTGGGAAGTTATCAATATTCCATTCCTTCCTGGCGCTGCAGTGTTGTTCAATACCGGGCAGAGGTGCCTCCTTCACCAGCTCCCAACCAGAGCCCAGGGCCCTGAGTCGCTAATGAGTTTCCCTGACATACCACACTTCAAGTGTGTTGTCATGACTTGTATTCAAAGGAATCTACTCCCACATGAGTACTGGGAGGTGACCCCTGGGAACTCGCTCCTGGCTTCTAGACCTCTCCAACGTGCCTCTCCCTTTGCCAACTTTGTTTCCTACTCTTTGCTGTAATAATCCTAGCCACGTGTATGACTATGTGCTGAGTCCTGTAGGTCTTCTTGGTGAGTCATCGAATCTGGAGGTGGCAGTCCGACTTGGGGCTCCTGACACAATGACATATGAGAATATGAGACATGATTAGTCACCAAGGGACCGTTCTTCCAATGCCACAAGAGGTTCAGGGCTCATGATTAAGATCACATCAGTCACAAAGAATAAGACATTTCATTTTCTTTGTGCATCCCACTGTAGTCAGGATAATGTAAACACTTACCTGATTTTCAACCTTAGAATTACACTATTTAAAATGGACAGAAGGTTTTAATTATGGTTATGAAATATGAATGTTACCCAGCTTGGATGATATAAAAATCAAAATGCAAAGTTAAGGATTGAAAAGAGAAAGTGGAGCTGGAGAGAAGAGAAAGGAGGGGAATAATACCCTGCCTGAGCTGTTGCTCTTATTATAAGACCACCCCCATGTGCATTTTTAAACATGCACATATTTTCACTTGATAAAAATTACAAATGTATTGAAATAAGAGAGCAGTGAAGAAATGATACCTAGAGCCTTAATCACATTCATCAGCCTCCTTTTCCTGGCTTAAAATAAAAAATTCTTTGGGAACAAATGTGGATAGAATGCAGTCTCTTTCGTGACACTTCAATCCTTTCACAAGGGCCCAGAGGGTACATCTTGCTCGCTTGTTTGTTTTCATTTCTATTTCTATTTCACTGTATGTAGCAGTTTATTCTACTGTTATGGGCACGACAAATCAGATTTCTGTCATTTTTAGACAACTAGAAAACTTGAAAGTCAAATT